CAGCAGAGGCCCAGGTTAGGTACGAAAGCCCACAGTATTTTTAATTTGCAGAATTAATGAAACGCTTTGAGGATGTTTCTGTCTGGTGTTTCATTCACCAGACGAATGTCCTGGGCACACACCTCGCTCAGCTGGGTGGGGCCCTGGAGAACCCAGCGCGAGGCCCTTTGCCATACTCAGTTTATTTTCTGGTGGCATCCAGCCGGGTACAGATGTTAGGTCCTGCAGTGCCCACGCCCCATCGCTGTGGTCACAGTGCCAGGGTAAGGGCATTCTGTCCAGAAAAGACCAAGCCAGGGGCTTCATTCCGGGAAGGAGGGAAGCGTATGCGAAGATGTGGGATCTGGAGGTCCTGACATGCACAGAGGGCGAAATGCGGGAGTCTGGAGAGACGAGGAGGTAGGCTGGGGCAGGATGGGGAAGACCTGAGGCCGCCTTGTCTGGCTTAATCCTGGGGGCGACTGCTCTGGAACGGCACGTACACTCTGACAGCCCTGGTCATTTCAGGAACATTTTAAAGTCATCATTTACTATTTTAATTTTTCTTCATGTTTAATTTTTTTTAAGTAACACATAAAAATTGAAATTTAATAAGGACTATTGCTTAGGACCAAGGCAGGCTTAAAGCAAGCACAGATGCGGCCTGTCGGTGGGCATGCGGGCTAAGACTGAGGCGCCCACTCCACAGGCTGGGGCTGCTCAGACGCTGGTGCTCAACTCCCACTCTGCCTAAAGCCGGCGTGGGGCGTGTGCCTGCGATGCCAAGTCTGGGGATGTCAGGCGGAGGGTCCTGAGCTGGAGGCTGGCCTGGGCAAGAAAGTGAGACCCTGGGTGGACACGTGCTTGCAGTCCCCACAGAGGCAGGGCAGCAAAACCCTGTCTAAAAATAGATGAAATTAAAGACGCTATTAAAGAAAGCATCGTAAACATGATACACAATAGCAAAGAAAAGAATCGTAACAGTAAGAGGCAAATAACAGAAGTCTGAGAAAAACCCTTCCGGAGTTGGACGGGGCCAGGAGCAGCAAGGCTAGACTTCCGGGCGCATTTGTGAGCTGTGCTTTGCTTCCCAAACACCAGAGTGGAGAACAGGCTGCCAGGAGGGGAGGGCGAGCGTGAACCTTTAGGTTGGGAGACTGAGGAGCAGTCCCAGAAAGAGACTCTGAGGACAGCTGACAGACCGGGGGACAGTTAGCCGTGCCTCCCCACGGCGTCAGCATGGAGAGCAGCTGGCACCCAGGCTGGAGGCAGAGGGAGGGTGACCCCTACCCAGACTGCGCCCACTCACGCTCCCTTCCCTGGGCTGTACTAGAATCGCTGTCGCGGGAGGGGGGTGCTTTCTTCCATGTCTGGAAGCTGCACCTCGAAGTGCTCGCAAACGCCCTTGGGAATGAACGGGAGTGTGAATGTGGACCTCCTGAGTGGTCGTTAGAGTCTCAGCCGAACTGCCAGCCTCTACAACTGGCCACATGCAGAGATGCGACCTTGAAGTTCCTTGTTGCCATCAAATTTGAAGAGCAGCGATTTACACCAGGTGGTCGACTGACCGGTGCCGCCTTTCTTCTAGGGGGCCGTTCAACATCCACAGCAAAGACAGCCATGAGGGCGGGACGGGAAGACGGCATCAGGGGCAACTTCGAACTTTTCCTGCTTGGCACCCAACTTCACTTCCTCTTACCAGCACCGGGGTTTCCGAGAAGAGACGCCCTTCTTCCACCTTAACCCTTGAGTGTGGTGGGCTCCCCATCTCTGGCTCCTGGGAGATGCAGAGGTCTGACCCAGCCAGTCCCAGTGTCCCATCCCTACGGTGACAGTGACCACAACGGGCACAGCAAGCCGTCAAAGGCGCTCAGGCCAGCTCTGGGGGCTGATGACCGAGGAGCACTTGGCTGGTGTTGAGATGTGGACTTGAGTGTTGGAGGCCACTTTGTGCGGAGAGCGAACCCCACCCAGAGAGAAGGAGACTTTTGGAGACAGCGTCTCCACCCGGGTAGCGCTGTCTGGCCTGTCAGATGCAGTTTCTCTCCCTGGACTTTCCTATTTCGTGAAAGGTATATCCCCTATTTTTTTCTCTCAGGCAATTTGAATCGTTGTTTTTTTTTTTTTTTTTTTTTTCCCCTATTTGGGGAATTTCCCCGGGCCGGGCAAGCG